AAATACATTGTCAAATGAGAAAGTTTTCCATACAAGAACTTGATTCCGATCGTTCAGTTTGTATTGCAGCTATATGTTATAGTAGTCCGATTCCGGCGGACTGAAAAYGACGCAAARTTTCGAAACGATATCTTAAAAACTRAGGGACTAGTTCGTWTATATACAGACAGATGRACAAGCCTAATCGACTCAGCTCAACATGCTGATCTTTTATTTGTATAYTTAATAGGGYCTCCGACGCTTCCTTCTGGGTGTAACAATCTTCGTGACAAACTTGATATACCCTTTTCAGGGTATAAATATCCATGCCCGCTGTTCAAAGATACGCCACCAAATGAAATCTCTTACCCCTTGCGAAGGCGAAGGGCGCGTCAAAGAGTTCGTGGAAAATAGGTGGGTGGTCCAATATTCACCACTGCTTTTCCAAATTCTTAACGCTCACATAAATGTGGAGTTTTGCCAGCACGGTCCAGGCTATTAACTATATATGTAAATAGTTAAATAAGGGCAGTGACCAGACCATTTTCACCGTGAGACAGGAGAGTAACTCTGCGATCGATCAAAAGAAGAGGTCCAGATTTGGCTGTTAAAAATTTTAACTAAAATACAACTACTATTTCATGAATTATTAATAAATTTAAGCATAATCCKGTATAAACTATATTAAGTGTAAGACCTTTCGATGCGCAAATTACTTCAGTCATGTTTCTAAATTTTATTRTTTTACTATCAATTTCTGTTCTCASTTCAAAAATATATCTAATAAAGCAAATTTAGCTCCCTTACTAAAAAGTTCTTTCTTTACTTTAGGGATTGGCTACGCTGCTGCTGTAATGTCTTGTTGGATGAACGTTTACTATATCGTAATTCTGGCATGGGCCGCTTTCTATTTTTTCATGTCTATGAAAACAGGTAAGAACTTRCAAAAAAATAATCTTTCTTAAAACTGTTTGACAATAGTTTTGAGAATATCAAGTATCAATCTGTTTAAGTTTAAAATGTTCGTTTCCACCAGAACTTAGCCCTTACTTAATTGTTCRTGTTTGATTTATCTACGGTAAAGGCTAAAAAGACGAGCAGACAGGCCTAATATGGAAATTTTCAAAATACTTGTAGAACATAAAGATGCGTTGCAAATTTAATAAACTRAATTACGTTCCTTCTCAGAGTGCCAAGAAAAGGTTTCTTTCTTAATTCTTTAAGTTTACAGAACCTTCACTGGGTTTCCTTACTAATCTGATTATCATTACTATGAAAGTAATAATTTTGACTTTATTTCACAGAGTTATCGCAATTTTAGAACTTCTGAACATAATACTTGTAAGGAGTGGTCGCATTTTTCATCCTTTAATGCTCCTCCCTACTGTAATTAGACACATAACCGAGAATTTCAGGTAGTTATCGCTTGCACGGTAGACSGACGTGCAGGTGTCAACAAAGTCAATTCGTATCGAAAAGCTGATCATTTAGATGTTATTTTAGGATTTTTTTTATACCATCAATATATAGTATAGAAAAAAAGTCTCTTTTTCTGTCCCTATACCCCTTTATATGCTTAAATCCTTAAAACTACACAATGAACTTTGATGCGATTATTTTAATAGATAGCGGGATTGCAGAGGAAGGCTTATGTGTATAATAACATTCATTAAATAGTGGATAAATGCTGTTATTTTTGAGGTCGTAAATAATTACATTGTTTCCTCTTACATTGCAAACGCAGGCTGAACCCTACGAGATTTATTAAAACAATGTACTAAGGATTGTACACATTGAACAGGTTTACAGAAATTTTGCGGTGAATGTCTATCTGTCTATTTTTTTTTTTTTTTTGTCATTTACTTTTCACGACAAATAATGGCCAATTTTCAAAGCGATTTTAACCAATACAGTATTAATCCTTATCCAATTAAATACTTTAAATACATTGTTGATTTATTATAGATTTTTATGGTCTTTACTGATTGAATGTGTATTTGAAATGAGTATTTTCGAAGATATTACAGATTTAAAAAAGTATATGCGTACAATTTCAAACTGATACAAAAATAATACAATTGCTAATATTTGGATTAGTAGAATAGAACTGCAACCAAATACGCAATTACTGGCTCAGTAATCAGTCGATGAATGCCAGCCAACTTTTTTGTTTTTCCACGCTTGAGAACCGGTTTCTCAAGTGCAGTCGACTAGAATGACTGTCGATTGGACTCCAGTGAAATGATGGAGCCATGTTTCTATTGYCATACACCGACGCAAGAATTCGGTTTTATTATGCTCATTTTGCTTCTTTACAATTAGCAAACCTCTTTTCAACGGTTGATTTCCTCGGTGCAGAGCGTAATTTCAACAGTATTTTCCCCAAAACTCAAGGCTTTATTAACACATGAAATGCCTTATGATCCATTTTTTTTTGCTAACTAACGCATGTTGCTTAATAAAAATGCTATATCTCATTTACTAATAGTTATAATTTAAATAATAGAAATCTTGAAGATGATGGTCGTATTATTATCTATGTTCCAGCCACAGTAAAGCGTGGACGGGTCCTCTAGTTTATGAATRAAGTAATGTTACAGAATTTTAATCGTAAGAGTTTTTTACGTTTTTCTTCAGCAAAACTAAAAACTTTATTGAAAACAWACGTGCAGCTTTTTCAAAATATTTACCATTTTTAAAATACAATTTCTCTGCMGTCATTGCTTAAATCTTATTTACTTTGTCGTTTGTAGATGTGCCTTGGCGTTCTTGTAATAACTTCTGGAATACTGTAAATTGTGTCAATTCATACGAACGCAACAATTTAATTTGCTAGGAGGATTCTACTAATGGAACAGTAAAAAATATTTGTTCWTTAACCTTAGCAAATATCACCACTTCAGAACTGACAGATCCAGTTAAAGAATTCTGGGAGTAAGTATATTCCTCTGCCTCTACTGAAGGCCATAAGTCCTTTAATTAAAAGATATTCTACATGGGAGTAAGTAAGTATATGATTTTTATTTTTTGTACCTGATAATACAAGCTCCTTTATTAAAAACTGTTTTTAGATGTATACTAGCAAGAAGTAGTATAATGGTGTTAAATCACAACTTCATGGATATCATTCAATGTCASAATTTGTTGAAWTAATCGAATCTCCAAACTAGCCTCGCTTCGTTGGAAACAAATAACTTGAAGATCAACTTATTTAAATTGCGGCAATACAAAGTTAGTTTTAATCGATCTGTGTCGGTATTTATTGACATTAACGGTGAAACTAGCTTCATTTTGAAAAAAGTATGGAGCGATGATTCCACCAGACCAAAAAGCACACCAAACTGTCAATTTAGGTTAATGTGATCGTTGTTCATGAACAATTTGCAAATTTTCTTTGCACCAGAATCGACAGTTTTGTTTATTTACCGCACCAATCAAATGTGAGCCCTATAGAAGAAAATGATTTTTTTTTTAATTCGTTATCGTTTTGAAGTTGTTCCAAGGTCAAATCAGCAAATTCACGACGTTCTCGGTGTTCCAATGGCTTCAGATCGTGAATGAGATCAATTTCATACGGATGCCAGCCCAAATCCTTTCTAAAAATTCAMCAAGTTGTGGTTTGAGACTGTTCCAATTTTGAGAACGTCGTGGAGTCAACAAATTGCSATCTTTAGCAACAATTGCCTGAACGGYAGCAACATTTTCCTCATTGTAAAGGAAATGACGTACGAAATWTAAAACGATTCGACGAATAGAGAGAGAGTGAATCATTATTACGGYCATGAAATGACAAGAGCGCATTAAAAGTTTCAATTGGAGAACAATTATTTTTATAATAAAATTTAAAAAGTTGTAAGYGTTGTTCTTGCGTATATCTTTCCATAATAAAATCGTAAACACTACTKAATATGAGTACAATGAAAAAAAGTACAGATCAAAACTCGGTATAACTTACTTAAAAATGTTTAGAAAAATCCATAATCAAAACCTTATTAAAAGCAAATAGAGCTAAATTAAGGTGGACTAGACTAGAGAAAAATTTGCATATCTTGGGGCAAATTTTATATTAAAAAAGTAAGCATATACTAAATTCGCGAATTATCGACGAATTTTATCTCTCGCAATTTGCAAATATAAAACACGACATAGTATTTCTAGATATTGACAACTGGTTTGTTTGTAAGACCAAACGATGACGAATTATACAATTTTATCTTAACTTTGAATATATAAAAAAAATACTAAATATATTGCTGCACTCCGTCCTTTGATACCAGCGCATAGTTTCATTTTAAACAAAAACTCTTTACGTTACACAAATAAGGAAAGGCTAAGTTCGGGTTCAAGCGAACATTTTATACTCTGCCAACTTCCAAAAATTAAAGCCAGGGAAATACTTTAAGGTGTAAAACCCATCATMTAGAGTAAAGATGTTGTTCGAAAATCTAGACATTAGGTATATAATATAGGGGCTACCAGAAGTTCGGAGATCTTTATATTAAGTATATGGGGGCTAAGGGAAGTATTGGTCCGATTGAATCCATTTTTTACATGTAAACATACCATTACAAGAGGMGGATTATGGCATAATTTCGTACACATTGACCGACATTTTCGATCAAAAGTCAACAATAGGTACCGGGGTTTTAAAATTCGGTACCTATGAGCTTGAAGAGTTTTTATTGAATTCTATCTTGGAGTTTTGAAGCGTTTGATGGGCCGTATTCGACGTGTTCGGCCCGAATATCGTGAAGATAAAAGTTGGCGTTTGTTGCACGATAATACGCCATCTCATTGATCGACGCTTGTGACCGATTATGTGACCAAAAATCACATTTTAACCACTCCCAGTATTCACCTAATATAGCACCGACTTGTTCCTTATATCAGCACATATAAAAAAGSTTTGTCCCACTGGTACTTTTTGAACGACAATTTTTAGCGAAAAAATCTCAATCCATGGGTAATTTTTGAGAGCACACAGGATGTTAACTTAGAAAAAGAAAAGAACCAAATGGATTTAAAAAAATATAGTTGAAATAYCAATTTGAAATAAAAATAAATTAAATTGAAGCTAAAAGACAAGAACAGTTGGAAATCAAAAAATTTAAATTAGCATGTAAGAAGCGAATTAAAATGTTTGAAATATAGTTGAAATGTAAAACTTCGTAAACCTCTGTATACTACTATTAAATAAAACTGCTTGTTAATATTATCTGTGTTTTATTTATGATACAACTGTGTTCGAAATAAAAGCAGTGYCATGAAGATCATCTGTGTTGATCAGTCGACAAATGGAGCAACACATTGTGGTCCGATGAAACAAAAATRGTTTTATAGGAAGCAATTATTTGGTTCCCGCTGACGCTGACAGTATGTACGAAGGACAGTAAACACTTCATTTGATCYTAAAAATGTTTAACGGACGGTAAAACATGGAGGTGCCAAAATCAATGWATGTGGGTACTTGTCTTACTATAGTACATACAGGTCCGTTATTTTGGATTAAAGAAAACATGTATGCCAAATTGTACATTGAAATAATGGTGTCGACTATGCTAMCACACGCTGAATGAAAAATGCCGTAGAAATGGGTCTACCAACAAGATAACGTCCCCAAACATAATAGCAGGCTGGCAAAAATTGGTTTGCTCYAAATAGAGTAGATGTTATGGGTTGGCCGGCGGAGTGCTATGAAGAAGGCGTGTAAGGCCATTCAAGTGTTTGGTGGACTCCATGCCGAGGTGATGCGCAGCTAGGTTATTCAACAATAGTGACTCGACGAAACTTTATTTTATATTGTTATAATATTTTAAATGTAAAATCTTCATTTTTATTTTGTTTTACAAACTTTTTATTTATTTAAAGAAGAAATTATTAAATTAAATTGTTCTTTAAAAAWATCATATTTCTTTTAAACTTGAATACGAGTGAATTAAATACAATAATACAAATCAATTACACGATTTTTTTGCTTCATTTSAATTCTTGGTTATGCCACTGCTGTTATTTCGAACATATTGTATATTAGTTGCAAACAAGATTTAAGCATTCAAATCTTTTAATAACGATAACAAGGGGAATTCAACCTCGTTTGTGACTAAATGTTGGTTGTTAGATTCATCAGCTTCACCTTCCTCATTTATCCTTTCATAATTGTAAAACCTTTCGTGTTTTTATACCTGCTTGCATTTTGCTCTTGTGCACGTGTATGCAACCTCGAAATAGCACTTATAAGATCTCGCATGCCATTATTTATAGAGCGGTGASGTGAACGCAACAAACCTATGTATGAGGTTATTGACGCTGTTCCTTACCTCTGCCATATAATCCCTACCCGTTGGCACAGTTTTCACTGGAGGCGAGCAACCTATTTGTAGCTAGGGTGGCGATGACCTTGCCGGTACAGGCCTCTCCATGGAAAGAACTTTTTCTGGTGTTCGAGGTAATTTTGACCCTCGCTTGACGGTCTATTATTTTGCTATCAACCATACTTGTAGCATTATCTGACAGGCTGACCAAGTGGACCGCCACCGTGTCATTGCAGTCATTGCTTATCGACGGCCGGGAGCCTGTTTGCTCTCCCCCTACAACCGCCGGCACTGGGCTTATTACATCCTGCACCGTAACTTTACTACTTTTAGTACTCACAGACATGATTTTATTTATTTCGGGATTCTACTGGAAGGTGATTTGCTCAGTCGCTTCTAACCTGGAGACAGACGCTGCCCAGTAATCCTCTCAATCTGAGTCAGACGCTTCCGGAATTTTTGTTGGTTTGACACTTATATTATATATGGGYGGTATCGATTCGCCCCACCACAGATACTCGTCGGGCAGATGTAGCTTTTTAAGTTACACTCTCCACCTCTGCKGCTTTGGTGGTCGGGGACTGCTTATTGAATATTCTCAGCTAACCTTCAGATCTGGAGGCCTTTCAATTATCCGCCACCTGCTGACCGCCACAGTAGCCCAAGCTACGCAGGAGTGTTTTTTTTTCCGAGGATAAGACTGGTAGCATGCACGATTCATATTGCCCGCTAGAGTTCACCTCTTTCGGGACCACGCCCAGATAGTCAAAAAATAATAAAAAAATAGGTGGAATTGATATCAAACCACAGTATTTAGCGAACTAATAGCCAAGGACATACGAATTTCAGGGAACGGTTGCTTATTCTTTGTTTTTCGTTCTTTTTTTAAATTAAAGCAATCTTCAATTATAACTTGATACTGACTAAAAGTTCTGTTGAACACATTTCGTTGTTGCAAAGTGCTAGTTCAGGAGCTTTTGTGGACAACTACATATATAGTATCCACACTGCCAGGATACCCCAACACCATATGACGAATCAATACATTGTGATTACAGACACATTGAATCTTTAATTAATATACATGTTTTCGAGAAAAATATGCTTCCGGAGTAGATTCCAATAGATTTCCCAGAAAATTTTATTTCCGTCTCGTCAATGTAGCCAAAACAATGTGGCAGCTCAAGGCAGTGCCACTCAGCTCTGCGCTCTGCTGCATCTTGCCAGTACATAAAGTTGTCTTTTAGCTTCAGAGTCGCACAAAGTACTGTATTACCTATGCTATCGAGAAATATAAAATCAAGAATAGCTGCTCAATTTAATGGAGAATCTCCCATTTATTACTCATCCGTAACGAAAACCAAACAAACTTGAGATTTTTGAAATTGTCGGTCTTCCCCAGTACTATTAAAAGATGAATTTGAACGGAAAATCTCTTGCACCAACGCAGWCTTAGATCAATAATAACAGCAAACGTATTTCAGCTGACTTGCAATTTATCTAAACCTGTTTTCATTTAAATGCGGCAAAACGTTTATTAAAAATTCTTGCAATTTAGAAACAGAATGATAAACAAAATTCATAGCCATATGAAATATTTAGAACCTGCAATTGTAAGGGAAAAGCCTTTCTTAAATTCGTCTTCTCTTTTG